CGGAAACGGAGGTCGCATGGGGGAAGAGAGGGGGAGGGGAGGGATGGGAAATATTGAGGAGGTGTGTGTGTGTGTAGGGGAGTAGATGGGGTGAGGGGGATGGGGGGGTTTTTAGGTTAAGTTGGGCGATTGGGATGTATAATATGTAGCGAATAAGCGTTAGATAAGTTAGTTTTTAAGTTAGCATAAGTTAGTATAAGTTAGTATGATTTAAATGTAAGCGAGCGTTAGAGTAGGCATGGAATTGTAACCCTGAGGGGAGTCAATAAATTCTACATACATACATACAATATAAGGAAATATTTTTTTAAACTTGTAAAATAAGCTGCAAAATTATGAATTTATAAATAAAAAAAGTGATTTCTTTGATTTAAAATATCTATATATATAAGAATAAACAAATGATTTCTTTACGAGGAGAAAATTAGTGTTTTTAAATGTAAAAACTGTTTAAATAAATGTTTGCTTGTTTTAAAAGTAAATAAAATACAAGTAAATCATTTTATAAATCTGAATAAATTATTTTCTAATATTAAAAGTATTTTTTTACGTTTCAAATTAGTTTCTTTTATTATCAGAAAACAATTTATTTAAATTTATAAAATAATTTATTTTACTTACTTTTAAAACATGTAAATATTTTTTAAATATACTTTCTACATACTTTTTAAAACATATATTTTAAAAGAATCTATTCTCTTCTTTTAAATAAATCATATGCTTTCGTATATGGATATACCATATGTACACAATATAAAGCGTCTCTCAAAGTGACAGTGACGTAGTAGGTAAGGTGAACGACACAAGAATTAGCCCATGTAACAGACTCACGTCAAAATGACGTAAAAAACTGGTTATAACTGGTCGAATGACGTCAAGTGACTAAATAACGACATCTTTAAAACGTCTTTTTTGTGACATCTTAATGACGTTTCTGCATAACGTCTTAAAAACGTATTATTGACGTTTAGAGACGTCATAAAACGTCATTAAGTCGTCTAAAATGTCGTCATCGATCTGTGACATTAGACTATCATTTTGACGATATTCTCACGATATTTTTGATCATTCCTTGGTTATTTTTTATCCTGAACTTACTTAGATTTTGATGTCATTTTGACGTGTCTGCTACCTGGGAGAGGTCTCAGGCTCGAATCTCAGCAATGACCATACAGCACAGAAGCTAGCAGCAACATTGCTACAACGTTGCAAGATTGCATATTGCAGTGCAATGTTGCAGAGACTTTGCAGTGACATTAATTTGCAATATTACTTTAGCAATATTGCAGTAATATTTAAAAAAATATTACGAATATAATATATTTTATTTATTTACTAGTTATTTTTGTTACTTGTATTTCAAATTCAGTAATGTTTTACATCAATAATACTTATAGAATAGTACTTAGAATAGCACTCGTTAGTGGCAATCATTAATTTGTCTTATTGCATATTTTTTATACTTCTTATACCGTTTTTTCGGAGAAAATACTTTCTTTAGATTTAATATTCGTACTTGTTTAATTTTGTGGTTTTTTTTTTTTCATTAAAATATTATATTCTTAAACGAAATATCATTTTTTAAAATGATGAAAATAAAACTTTTATTTCGTTCAAGGAAACCATGTCATTTGATGAAACAACACTATTGTTTTAAATAATATTTTTTAAAAGTTTCTCTCAAAATTTATTAATTCGATTTGTTTAATTTGGATTTTCTTGGATTTTTTAATTTTTTTTTGTTGGATTAATCATTATAACATTTTGTTAAAAATGTAAAAGTAATTATTACTGGTTCACTACATTACATCAATATTCATCGCATATCGAATGTTGCATTCAATATCTATCAACAAACCAATAAACAACAAGTAAAAATTATATAACTATTATTTGGTGTTTGCTAGGTATGTTATAATATACTGTGAACAATATAAGGATATATTATATAAGCATGAATTGTAAGAACATCGTTGGAGTCATCAGAGTCACCGCATGCGCGCCGATCGTCAGGTTAAGCAACAGTAGTTTAATGTGGTCAGGACATGGATGGTGACCAGTGGTAATATCCGCTTGGGATCGAAATTATTGCAGGAGGATTCATTGAAAGTTTGGAATGTGTTGACAACCTTCGATATCTAGTAGTTTATGAGACATGAGAAAATTATGTATATAAGTATATTTCTGTAAACATTTTGATTTTCTCATTTTTCACCTTCGCATAATAATTCTCAGTATTTGATTACTATCAATTTTTAACATTGATTTTATTATCAGTATTTACTAGAAATTAAGTACTGGCCAAAAAATAACTGAATTACTGGTAATATTTAATCACTAATAATTTTTCAGTATTTCTTAGTATGATATTTATATAAGGGACGTATATGTTACCATTCGATTTAAATTAAATAACCTACGAAACGAAAGAGTCTGCTGCATATCTGTCACTAATCTGCCATCAGATTCTGTCAGCAGATTCTGTAACATTATTGACATTAATCTGCCGATATTATTTGATAACAGATTCTGTGCAATCTGCGATTTTCCTGTTAACAGGTATTGCTAACAGATTTAGTTTAAATATATGTTGTTGTAAGTTTGGTTATCTGAGAAAATTAATTTTTCTTGTCGATAGATTGGTCGTGGAGATTTTAGACAATGGCCACCCAGATCGTTAGATTTAACACAACAAAATTTCTTTTATGAGGTCATATTAAAGAAAAAGTTTTCACTCGACAGTTATCAAGGATATGAAGTAATTATTAAGGCATTATAAAGCATTATCCCCGAAATATTTGTATCCGTTCGAGGTAGACTTAGGAAACGGATAAATAAATGTATCGATATCAGGGCGATGTGTTCGGATATTTGTAAATTTGAAAATAAAGTAATTTTTATTATTGATTTTATTGATTTATTTTGAAAATTATAATAAAACATACATATAGTATGAATGAATTCGTTTCACCATGCTGTTTCATCATACATTAATAAAAATGCTACATTGTACTTAAAAAAACAAAGATGATTTTGAAGTTTCCGAAACTTCTCCATCTATTGAGTTTTTTCTATGATATTCTAACAACCTCTTCGAACTCATTCAACACCTATATATTCAATTTTTTTAACTAAAAAATATTTCTAAGATATTTTAATTTATAGATTAAAATAAATCACTCTATATATATTAAAGTACACACATAACTTTTAATAAAATATTTTTTTCTTTCTGTTTTATAAAATGTTTACTGTGTAATGTTATATAATTTTCATATTTAAGAAAACATTTTTTATTTTTCCTTTTCTTACCTTTTTTACTTTTAAAAACAATTTATTTAATTATTAATATTATAACATAATTCACGAAATCAGTTTACAGTTATGCAAACAAGCTCCTTGCGTCGCTTTAATCCCTACACGGCGTACATACTCCTCTTTTATCGGTCCGACAGGTGCGGCTGCCTACTACGTGAATACGTCTCATTTCCAGACCTTTCCAGTTATCCGCGTGACAGCATCGACACCGAACGTTTGTGGACGTAGTCGTGATTTGCATTCAAGTCTTTCTAAAAAATTACGTCGATATAATCGATTCGATACATTCTTAAATAATTTCATTGTAACAGACAAATAAAAGAAAACATTAATGTTTGACGTTACTGCACGACATCAGTATTCAACATGAGACTAATAATCACGATAATTATAAAGAATTGATATGTAGTGATCATTTGAAAATTGTCAAACAACCTCTTTGTTAAAACATGTAACAAAAATAGTTTTGCTTCAAAATAATAATATGGGCAACTACAGAAAAATGTTTATTAATAACATTTTTGCTATGTAACGAGATTCTATTATATAGCGATACTTTGATAAAACAAAATATCTTAGATCAGAAATAAAAAGTCACAATTATTTGAAAATTGCTTTCCTAATTGCTTATAGTGTTACACAGCATGTCAAAAAGTGTTGCCAAAATAGTAGTGCGTTACTAAATCATTATCATTTAATAGTCGATGACAAATACTATGAGAATGGTGCGTGCAACTTGCACAAGCGGAGGACTGACAAAGGTGAGACAATTAATTGTATTAATTTTTACAAATATATCAAGATTGGATTCTAAAATGTTCATTGATAATTTTCTTATCAAACACTCGGAAATTTATGTACTTTTTGTTTGCAATAATATGAATATTTTATTAGTAGTCCTCTCTTCGTCATATTTTTATGTCTATCTATCATATTTATCTATCTATCATATAGAACACTCTATGTTCGATGAATGAAATTGACGCAAAGAAAAGATTGCATTAACGCGTAGATGTTATAAAATGCGACGTAAAGTATAGCTTGCTTTATTGAAATAAAGAATCGAAAGATCATTATCACCTTACATATGTATATAGTAGCACAGTTGAATATAAAAAACATATAAGAATATAATCATACTCAGAATATATAACAATATAATCATACTCAAAGTTGTGAAAAAGTTACTTCCGAAAAGTAACTCGTTACCATTACCTTTATTATATTTTGAAAAATAATTTGATTCTGTCATTATTGCTCAAGAAGTAACACGTACCATTGTAATTACTGTTATTTTTTTATCAAGTTTTGAAGACTATATTTTAGGATTCGATATTGCTTATTCCATATATCACAGTAAACACCAATTAATAGTAACGTTACATTAATGTTATATTTTTTCTTTTATTCGACAATGTGAGTACAATATATAATATATATAACAATTACATTGTTGAATGAAGAAATTATAACAATGATATAATATTATTGTTACTTGATATTTGTTGAGACATATATTCTACGTATGTAGAAAATAACGATAAAGGCAACAACCATATTCATTGCTGTTGCTATTACTAAAGAGAAAAAAATGTCACCAAGTCGTTATTGAAAAAAGTAATTTGTGAAGATAACAGTGTTACAAATAACGCATTATTTCTTAATCCTGATCGAATAAAAATATAATAGTTTTATATGACATAAAATCTCATCTAAATTAAAATAATTAAGAAAATAATACTGTTGCTATCTTATATCTTATATTTATAACTATGGAAAAAATATGACGGCTGCCAAGAACGACTGTACTCGACTTTTGATGCCATATAAATATATATAGGATATATGAGTAAATTTACTATTTCGTTTATACTGTCGAGTTAAATTAGTGTCTTAAATCTAAAAAAAAAAAAAATATATATATATATATATTTCCATATATATTTTCCCCAAAAATAATTTTGCTATTGCCGACGAGACAATCTCTAATAAAATCTCCTCGTAGTATATATTGTAAAATATTGTAAATGGAAAAATGAAAGAGGTTTAAGAGTTCAGTATCGCGACATCAATAAACTAATCGCCAATTTTTGTTCGACGACAGACGCGAAAACGACGAGAGCGCGATTTATAATTCCGTTCGCGGCAAAAATGATTTCGAGAAACGTCGCTACATGCGTTCCTGTCGTGATAAGTTCCATCGGATATTTCAGTCTGCTTTTCGTATAATGCAGTAGCGCGGTATATTAATATGTGTGCGTGGTCGCGCGTGTCGCATAGATATATAACTGTATATATGTATATATATTCCTGTTTGTGTGCCGCTCATTCGTTCGCTCGCTCGCTCATTCGTTCGTAGCTTCGTCGTCTATTATTAGTCCTCGGTCATCAGAGAGAAGCTTCTACGTACGCGAACGACAACGCAACGACGCAACGACGCGACGACGCACGGACGCACGCACGCACGCATGCACGCACGCATCGACATTCGACGCGAAAAAGTCGCGCTTGCTCGAAGAAAGAAATCAAAGTGCAAAATTATCGCGCGTTACGTTTCGGAAATTTGTCACTGTGCACGCGCGTGACAACGTTCACGTTACTGTCGTGTTTGGTTGGATTTGGTTGCCACGTAAGAGGAAGGATTTCAATTCGATCATCTGCTCACTGGACTTCAGGAAGGATGATTCTCTCACACTCTTCACTGTGAGTCAGTCGTCTTCGCCGCCTCTGCTTCCGCCTCCGTCTTTGCTTCTATCGCTTCTTGTAGCCTCCACGCGTTCTTTCGTATAAGAAGTGAAATCGATACACGAAGTCTTGGAGTTCGATTTTCGCTGTGTATGCTGTGCATGCGAGAGGATGCACTTTGCGCCGCGTGTTGCTTTACGAATGTCATGAATAAGTATAGATTGAGTTGCAAAGATCAACTTAAAGTTAAGTGAGATTTGACCAATTCTCTATTTTTTTCTGATTTAGTTTTTAGTCGAATTTTAATTTATTTCGATTAACGTCGATGATTAAGCCGTAGGAAGTAGTCTGGCGCATACACAAGGACTGCATATGTTTCCAGTTAAATCGCCAGTGGTATTATGCGTATCGTATTTGTGATATTTATTTCTATCTTTGATTATTAATGTAAATGTCATAAAATACAGAATATTGAAGAACTGCACAATAATACAATTTCAGAGGCTCTATTATGAATATATATTGAATGCTAAATATGCCTTTCTAAATCTCATACTGAAACAACGTTATACGTGACGTTTATATACGAAAGGCGGAACTTAGAATTAAAGGAACATTCTTAACGTTCGTTATGTGTCTAGAATAGGGCTTTTGAGTGTTTATATCGTAAGTGCGAAATGACATGACAGATTTGGGTATAAATCCAGCACTATTTACGTACCCTGAATGATTCTTTGACTTTGCGCGATGGATGTTATTCTTTCTAGTAACTTATAAATTGTGTATATAATATAGATTCTCTTATTGTTATGTCGTTACTACTTTATTTAAAAAAAGTATAAAAAGATATAAAATATTGAAAGTGAAATATGCAACGTATAAAAAAATACACAATATAGTCAAAAATAGTTTTTTCCTTTCTCATTTTTAATTATTTTATATAATATAAAATGGCACGTGATAATTGTATGTGATAAAATATTAGCATCAGTCGCTCACATTGATTAAACCTACACCTTCAATATCGAATCTGTGACGCGTACCAGTTAATGTTTCACATGCTCTGCGACGTGTTACCATAACGGGCTTGTGCCTGTGTTTAAATTCGTAGCATTTATCACAATGTTCATTATGTACTAGTAACTAAAGGAATGTGCGCGTTATGCTATACTCTTTTCACAGTGGGTTGTGTTATGTATAGTGAATTATACACGTGTTGGCGATACACAATAGGAAAAGAGAATGTCGAGACTTTATTTAAGCACATTTTTAGTATTCTTACGAGTAAGATTCAGTATTCTTAGTATTCTTACCAGTAAGATTTTCTTGTGGGCAGATTGAATATAAGACTGTCAAGAATTTTCTACTCAACAAAAAGAGAGAATTTGTATATAGTATCTCATTTGATATCATAATTCTGTTATATGCAAAAAAAATGTTCCATAAAATTATTTTATCAAAATATCAAATAATATTCAACAAAAATTTCCCAAAATTTTTTTTATAATTTCATTTCTCGCATATTTAGAGGACAAAATGTGATTTTTTAATACTAAGTTTTATAAAAATTAAAATACTGATTACATTACAAAATTACTTCATTATTTAAAGCGCATATATCATCAGTATTTAATGTATAACTTAAATAATTACTTTGATAAAATCAAAGTGAGATACTACTCACTTGTTTTTACATTTTTTAAGTGATGAATCATCATGCACACGTTTTATATATGCATAAGTAACAGTCAAGTCTGAAAGGTTAATATTAGTCTGTAATATAATATAAATTACATATTATTTTTTCAATTATCTATCACTGCAGCACAGTTTAGCAGCGGAGAAAGGTCTTTCTTTTTCTCAATCTCTCCTTTCTCTTTTTTACTCTCTCTCTGTTTCTAAGGAATGGACTTATTGATTTCTTGTGTGAAATATTTCTTTCTTGTTTTTAGATGAGGGATGCGGTTTCGCAAAAAGGAAATAATAGCGCAGCCACTCCCAAGTCCAAACCGTCCTTAGAAATATATCGACCCCCAGGTTTGTATTTTGCCACTTAAATGACACTTATGTCATCAATTTTTAATGTGTCATTGCATACAGATGTTTGATTTCATTATGACCCCTAGGTGGGAGAGCAGAAGGAACCACGGCGAACGTGAACTCCGCTAATCTTCGACTAAACGTGCATGCCAAAGAATTCACAATGAAGCAAAACGACTCGCATTCTTCTAAGTAAGTGTTACTAAACGAATTATAATTAATCTATGTAATCTAAACAGACATATTTTGGCACATTATTTGCTTAACTAACACTGCTTAAGTACACAAAGATACCTTATATAACAAAAATGTTATCAGTATACATACAGTGTACTGTTGTGATGTGTACTGTTGTATGCTTATACATTAGGTCAAATTGAATAAAAAGACCTTTTATTTATTTTATTTTACAAATAACCACAAAGATTTTTAATTATTCACGAAAGAAAATTGTTACATGATTGTGCGCGATAATGCACAAATTTTCTTTAATTAATATTTAAAAATCTATGTAGTCATTTGCAAAATAGTAGACCTTTTTTGTTCAGTTTGACCTAATGTATAAGTATATAATGGTAAACGGTGCGACTACAGCTCAAATACCTCGCTTGTTATCATTCACTAATCTTCTTTAATTAATATCTCGAGATTTATTACGAATATCGCAAAAAACGATATGAGACTTTTATGTGCACCTCAATCTGTTCTACGCTCTCGCAAAGTTTGAGAATGATGATCTGGGACACCCTATACAAAAGAAGTCAGTTGAAATGCTATGAAAATTGTGAGAACAATATTGCGGCGACATTCTGATGAAAACTGTTGCTTATTTTGCCGCGAGAACGTAGAAAAGAACAAAATTAATCTAGAATTATTGTATTAATAAGAAATAACAAATAAGTATTTTAATTACAATTATGGTGTAAATAAATGGATATTTATTAAAACAAGTATATTTTAAATACGTTATGCTGTTTTGATAATATTATAAAATATATATTAAATGTTTGCATATTTAACTTTTCTGTCTACCTAGAAATGTTATAATATGAACATCAGTCCATCACATTATGATATTGCTTCACTTCACATGCAAACCTTTCAAATTTTGACACAATTGGTATTTGGTTCAATACAAACATACAATAGGAGAATATATTGTAATAGAGATAAAAAGTAGACTGAATAAATCGTTAAAAAGTAGACTAAATAAATATATCTCTCAATCAGGTCTCGGATGAACACATTGGACCGTTCTCCATATTATCTGCAGCACAGCAAGTCGAGTGGCAATGTGCATAGATATGTTTATGCTCAACAGCAGCAGCAACAACAGCAACAACAGCAGCAACTGGCTCGTCATTCTCAAAGTAGTCACTACTCTACAGCAAATTCCACGTCACATCAGTCTTACCATTTAGACACGTCTGCGTCTAGTGGGAATATCTTGCATGTAAGTATAGGACAACACGATAAAATAGTAAATTCCATATATTGGAAATCGATGTAGTTCATATTTTTACCACAATAACTAATACCACTATGATTAAAAAGTAAACTGGAAACGTTTTATATGTCAGACAGCAGGTCGAGTACATTTCAACGTAGAAAAAAATGAAATTAAGACTAATTCTATAAAACCAAGCAAACTTACCAAGTCGTTATCGTTCGTATCCACTTATGGTTTAAAACGCTCTAAAAGTATGAATTCGGCGGATATGTTAGCCGCAAAGACTCTTAGCATTTCTGATGCCTCCGAACTCGGGAAATTTTCAACACCCGTTCAAGATATATTGTTGCGAGCAATAGAAGGTAAGAAAATTTGTTTATATTAATTAAGAAAATGTATCAAATTAAATTTGAATACATTTGCCGTATTTTGGTAAAATTACACATTATATATTAGGTATACAAATAAATTCGGTGCCGTTACATATTGACTTAGACATAACATCATTTTAAATTTAAATATTTTTCCGTCTTTATATATTTTTAAGTGTCGATGTTAATGTTTTAAAAATGCTAGATAACATTACGAAGTGAATATAACCTTATAAGATAGGGCTGGGTGATATGGTCTTCTGTTCATTTGTTACAGTTATATTTTGTATATACACCCTACTGAAAAATTTCTGTTGAGATAAGAAGAGAATTCCCAATTCAGTTCTCAGTTGAACTCTCAATTGAATTCTCAAATGCCGTTTCCGCAAAAATTCGTATGTAAGATCTCAATTGAGGTATTTGTATCTGATGAAAATAATTTATTGAAAATATAATGAACTTTTGCTGAAATGCTTTTGAAAAGCATTCACAATTTTGACCCAATTTCATTAAAATTTCTTTATAATTTCATTAATATTTCGATAATATTTTATTAAGAATGTAAATAATTCAGTGAAAAATCATTATTAATTAAAATAGATTGAGAAAAATATAATGAAGTATTATTTTGTCTACATAATAAAAAAACTGGCATTTTATATTTTGTGTCGTTTCATTTATTCGTGAGATTCG